GAAAATCAGTTTCGATTGGTTTGAGAAACGTAACTGTTCTGGTTTGGCTAAGCCCAAAAGAGTGGCCCAAAAAGAAAAGAAAGCTATGTACTAAAGGGAAATTATTCCTATTGGGTTCTCAAGGCCCAAAATAAGACTATCATTTTTCATTCCCTATAGTTCTAATTTCTACTTAGGACGAGGTAGCACCAAAACAAATATGAATATTTAAAAGAAAAGTGGTACTATTTTTCCAAAGTCCTGTACATTTTTAAACATCCTAGGGACCAGTACTTTTAGAGCTCGTTGGAAATGAATTAAGGACTAAAGCTTAGTTTAAGAAGGCAGATTTTGTAAAGTACCTGAATCGGAGATTTCCAATTTTAGTACCAAAACTGAGATATCCGTCTTCCATTGCTTTGAGCTTATCAATAGTTCATTGCCAAAAACAATAGTTAGCCAAAACTAGGTAAGTTCCCCCTGAATGTATGCGCTTCAGAAAAATAATTAAGACGAAATCATACTTGAGATAAGCATAATCAAGCATAATAAGCGCAATTAAGGCATACTTAAGCAATGTCTAAATACATCATCATCAAAATCTATGATATTTTTCCCAACATATACCCTGAAGTCTTTCAAAAAATTTGGTATTAAAGCAAACTTTGTTGTGTGTAGATTTAATTCATTATATATTATTCTATTTACTTTGCCTTTCTTTTCTGTGTTATTATAAATCATGCATGAGGTATATTTCCTTTATTCCGGAAAAAAATATTACATTGAATAAATTCAGAGTCGACAAGATATTCGTCCGATCCCGTGCGTGGCACGGGTAGGAATGCAAGTTCTTATTGAAATATAACTCAAGTAACGCGCTCTTTCTATTTCCAAATTGTATTTTTTATTTTTGGAATCAGCCTAGCCTTTTAATAGAAATGGAAACTTAGTGGTACATATGCTATATATTTTTTTATATTCTCCCAACCAAAAATGGAAACATAATACTCTTTAATTAGTGCTTAACAATATTAATACTTATTCACATATTACTCGAGTAACAAGCACTTTCTATATATTACTTTGACATTTGTTTAAATTTAATTTTTTAGTCTATTTCCGAATTTGTAATCTTTTTTTATTTTCGTAAATGTGTTATTAGCCTTTTAATAAAAATAGAAACTTATTGGTACACTATGGAAAAAAAATATGTATTATCCCAACTAAAAAATAGAAACATAATAATTTTTAGTTAATGCCTACCAATACTAATGCTTATTCATATGTTACTCGAGTAACATGCACTTTCTAAATAATACTATGACATTTTTTAGATTTAATTTTTTTTCTTTTTCCAAATTTGTAATTTTTTTATTTTTGTAAGTACGAATTAACCTTTTAATAAAAATGAAAACTTATTGGTACGTTATACATTTTTATTTTGTATTCTCCCAACTAAAAAATAGAAATACAATAATTTTTAATTAATTCTTACCAATATTAATGCTTATTCACATGTTCTTGAATAACATGTGCTTTCTATATATTACTTTATATATTTTTTAAATTTAATTTTTTTTCTATTCCCAAATTTGTAATTTTTTTCGTAAATATGCTATTTTTTTGTATTCTCCCAACCAAAATTGTATTCTCCCGACGGTTCTGCCACCGGGATCGGTGACGGAGACGGCATCACGATTCGCGGAACCGGTATCAGAACCGCCCCCCACGGTACCGGGTCTGGTGTGTTAACTTTTTGTGACCGTTATCGGCGGTACCATTTTTTGAATTTTTTTGGCTTGCTGATAAATTTATCCAGGTGGGCCATGGGAGCGCCTCCAACGGCTCTATAGCCCTTTGGAGGGTGTGGGGGGTTTGTGGGTGTGGGGGGCGGTATTTTTTTTATCTATAAATACTCCCCTAATTTTTTTTAATTCACTTACTCCCTAATCAATCTCTCTCCCTTAAATCTTAATCTCTCTTAATCTTTACTAAATTCTTGATTTTATAATTTATACTTAAACATTTTATATAAATATATAATCATATATTTCTAATATATTATATTATTATATATTTATATTATAATATATTTCAAAATTCAAATATATTATAGTATTAATACTATAAATTTATTATATTATAATATTCTAAATTTCTAATGTAGTCCTATTTTTTTTTTATCAATATTGGCTCTACCAAAGTTGTTTTAGAGCTGAATCGCTTGAAACACTTGTATACAACCGAGATTGACACTTGGCAAGACATTGAGCTCAAGTGTCAGGGTACGACATTTATATGGAAAATTACATGAATGCAACCACATAGGGAAGCCCTAGTTCCGAGAAATAAGTGAATAACTTTTTTTATTTAATTGTAATTAGGTTTTTTAGGTGAGCAATATATAAGCTTTTTTGAGGGTTTCTTTACGGTTCTTTACCTCGTCATTTTTTTGAACCGTCAGGATATTAAATGTAATTGTATTTGTACTATTATTTTTCAATATTTAAATAACAATTACATTTTTAAATATTCTAATTCATAAAAATTAAAATTTATAAATTTCATTTGCTTTTTTACGCTTACACATTTATAAATTATCAGAAAAAAACATTTAGAAAAAATTTGGAGGCGGAATAGACCAGCCGGTACAGTGCTAGAACCGCCGCTACAAGTACCGGCGCCGGTACCATTAGCACATGTACCGGTAACGGTGCCATGGGGTGGCGGTACCGGAACCACCGGTTCCGGCACCGAAACCAGGCCGGAACGGTACCACGTCCACCACTAGTTAAACAAGGTTTGTCAATTAATTAAGGTGGTTGTATCGGATGATTTTAAATCCATCAACAATCTCATACTCTATTTCTTGTATTTTTTATAACCCCAACACACTCTTTTAAGGCCCCGTTCCGTTCTACTTATTTTTTCTTATTTTTCTTATTCTTATTAAAATCAGATCAGATCAGACCAGATCATATCATATCAGATCGAATCAGATCAGATCAGATCGAATCATATCAGATCAGATCCAATCAGATCAGACCAAATCAAATCAAATTAGATCCCATCAAAAATTATTATTATTATTATTATTATTATCATTATCATTATCATTATCATTATCATTATTATTATTTTTTAAAATGAAAAAGAATAAACTTTGGAAAACAAGTTAAATAGAAAACTGAGAAAATAATTCTTAATTATTAGACGTCGGAATTTTTTTTAAATACATTGACAATGTCAATTTAATTCTACTTTTAAAATACATTTTTAATGCTACTTGTAATTTGAGTTTCTAAAGTTTTGATCTTTTATAAGGATGAGATATTTTAATAAAAATATTTTCTCTTCTATATATTGATTATCTAAATTTAATTACTTTTTAATGTATATATATAAATTAAATATTTATTCTAATGTATATATGAAGTAATTATTAAAATATTAAATTAATATTCTAATTTCACAAAAAATAATCATATAATAAAAAATATTATTACATTATAATATGAATGATTATTCTAATATATGAATTAACTAATTTTATTTTATTAAAAAATAATCATAAAATAAAAAGTATTGATTATGTTATAATATGAATTATCATTACAATTTTCAAACATTATTATAAAGTCAAATCAAATTATTGATTTGAATTTTAAATCAAATCATAATTAATCAGATCAGATCAGACGAGATCAGATGAGATCAGATCAGATCAGACCAGATCCAATCAGATCAGTTCAGGTCAGATCCAATCAGATCATATCAGAACTTATTAAAATCAGATATGATCAGAAAAAATAAGTTGAACGGAACGTAGCCTAAGTCACAAAATAATTTACCAAATCTCTTTGGATTCAATCCAATCTTTACCCGTTTTTTATCGTTACATTGGGCATTTTTTATATGTTCATAATAGCAAAAAATACACATCTATGACTAAAACATGTTTTATATATCAAAATGTGACTTTTGATATTTTTTCAAAAATAAAATTTATATTGCCAAAACATTATGAAATGTTAACAGACAATGTTAGGCAAAAGGCATTTTACACCATCAATACTCATATTTAGGAGACAAAAAGATGAATGATCATATTTTGAAATACATTCTATATTTCAATCTTATTCAAGTTGATTTTGTTTTTCGAAAATTATCTCGGACCAAGCATTTAAAAGTCTTTATACTATGTATGCTTTTTTTTTCTATTTAGTTATACAAAATGACAAGTTTGCAAAATTTATGATCCTCAACCAAAGCAGGAAGCCTCAAAATCATCATATATAGAAGCAAAAGCACCAGAGACAGTGATCACCACATTTGAAGTGGATGACCACTACTACTAAAGAAGGCCGGCCGGGCGGGGGGTTCCTCAGAAGAGAAAATCCAGGTTGTTCTGAGAGCTGCTGGAATCATTGAAAAAATCAAGCAGGTAAGAAGAAGCTCTCCCCTCCTTGTCCTCCTCCTCTTCTTCTTCCATAAGGAGATCAGAAATAGAAAACGAGTCGAACCCAGAATCGGTGCAGAAGTCCCAAAACCCCGCTTCTTCCTGATGATCCATGCGCGGACCAACGACCATTGAAGACTCCAACTTTGGCATTGTTTCTTGCTGCACCAAGCATTGATCCCCCTGCTGCTCCTGCTCCTGCTCCTGTACTTCTCCCGGCCTTTCATTGTCGAGCTTACTAGAAGGGGAATGCTGTTTTATTTGGTTCTGCTCTCGGATCTCCTTCAGCTTATCTGCATAGTTGCTGATGTCGAAATTTGTAACTGCATTCGCACCTTTCTGTTCGATTGCTGCAATGTCATATGCCACAGCTGCTTCCTCTTGAGTGCCTTCTTCATCGGTAGCAAGTCACAATCATAAGAAAAACGGACTACATACTAATAAACTAAGCGATCAACGACACACTATATGTGACTTGTTTGCTTTTTTATGTATCAAACAATGTACTTTTTTTTTCTTTCTGAATTTGCCATTGTCATACAAGGTTGAAAATAATTAATGAAGAGGATATTAAGTGTGGGTGGTTATGTTCTTTTTTGGATCATACTAAATAAGGAAAGGATACGGAGTACTACACTTAAGAAAGTCCAAATAGGAAAGTAATAACTTTATTTTTTAGGTATACAAGCACACCATATTTGGAACCTGAGGTCGTTTGGCATTCAGTTCATCCAGGACAGACTGTGACCTTGTTTGGGAATAACATTTTCGATTAACGTTAGCGTTTTGGATAAAATTTTAATGGTGTTGATTAATTCTAAAAACGCTAACGCTAAAGGCTACCATCGGATAGTCTTTCCACAACGCTAATGCTAACCTCTAACGCTGATGCCAAACGGACCCTGTATTCATATCCCCACTTTGGTTCTCCTTTTTTAAAGGGTATTTGGTCATCAGTCTGGTCTAGTCCGGTTCAGTCCGGGACCTATGACCAAACCAACCAACCACATCCCCTATTTACTAGATCTATAACTACAACAGAAGTGGAAACAAGAGTTTTAAATATCTGAATCAGAAAATGTTGAAAATGAATCTGGAAGTGACACTTCAATTCATTCTTAAGTTGTAAATTTTTTGTTGACAGTAGCCAAGAAAAGAAGTGAATGTAATTGCGCATCAACATTCATTGAAAGAAAATTGAGTGATCTAATGTGTTCTTAGAAGCAGTGCAAATAAAGAAAAAAGCAGAATGAGGCAAAGGAAGTTACACATAGGAAATGGAAAGTGATTTAAGGAAAGCCAATAGATATTTTAATCAGGAGTGTACTATTATAGATGATAGATTTAGGGAAAAACATACTGAAAGTTCCCAAGTAAAGATACTTATTCCCTGAGACTCGTCCAATTCGTGCCTCCCAACGACCATTGTGATGGTGCCTGTGAAAACCAAAGGGTTCAACTCAAGTTAGTCTATAACAGTTTAGAGAGGAAAAAAACCATGTTTCCCCAAAGATGTTGTTCAAGACATTCTTAAGATGAAACCAAAGAAATCTTACTTCAATGTCCCATACAATGTCCTTTTAGTTGTTTAGCCTTACAAAAGTTAATCTAAGAACTATAATTCATTTTCTAAACTACTAGGAAACCAGATTTTTTACTATCTGTTAGAATATAAATAACTGTTCCGAGCCATAACCACAAGCTTGAGCTTTTGGTTGAATTGGTTCTTTGACACTATCCATAAAAGCTGAATAGATATTGTGGATTTGTAACGTACCTTGCAACACCACGGTACTTGGAAACACCTCTAGAAAAACCACTACTCTTACGCCGAAGTGAGGCCAAGAACTCCTCCTTTGACATGTTCTGCATTTCTTCAAGCTCTTTGGCATATGTCTCGATCTATCGAAAATATTACAGAGGAACGATTGGTAATTCGTTCAAAGTATAAACTTCATACACCAAATGTGTCAAAAAAGATATGACTAAGTACCGGAAAATTAAGAGTGGTGCCGGGCCCCCAGTACTTAAGAGCTGCTAGATCATAAGTCCTGGCAGCATCCTCTTCGCTATCATATGCACCTGCATTATTATTCCATTTCAGAAGAAACATGTAAAATGACCAAAAAATAAAAACACTCACTTTGCCATGTAAAGAGACTGCTTTTTAATTAAATCTTTGTTTCCTGGTTAGAAGAACTTAACATAGATTGTATTCCAAAATTGGGTCCCCAAAAACATTTAATTTTCCATGGTGGAATAAATAGAAGCAGTAACTCTTACCCAAATAAGCTAAGTGACCAGAATAGCGCAGGTTGCATACGGCAGCAAGGATCACCATAAGAGCCGGAAAACAAAGACGGCACATAAAAGATAAATAAATCAATTAATTACTCTGGGGTATTTAATTAACTTGGATGAATAAATGTACACAATTCAAAGCAACAGCAAANTAGGGTCTGTGATAAATGTAACTTTTGAAAATGCAGATCCCAATTCTTAAACCTTAATAGTCACAAGGAAAAATGGTCCATAAAAAGAAAAGGAGATGAAGTTATAAACTAGAAAGAGAAGAAGAAGAAGAAGAAGAGCAATCACTTTGTCTTCCTTTCTTGTTCAGAGTGCTATTCCAGATAGTCCTGTCCCATAAGTGAGCTTCAAATCTCCCACTCCATCTATGCCTAAAATCAACAATTGTTTTATTTTATTTTTGTGAAGGCAAAATCAAATGTCATGCATGCAATGAATGAACACTGACTGGCCAAGATAATGAAATAAAAAAAAAGTCCATTTTATTTTCAAACAGGCACATAGGACAAAGGGGTTAGTGGGTGTACCTCGTGACCCCCCTGTAAATGGAGCTTCTCATGGCTGGCCCACCTGTCGGGGAATCAGCGCTGAGGATTCTGTTTCTCTTTGTTCTTACCCGTTTCGGCACCGGTTCGGAAGGACTGGGAATGGGTTTGGGCAGAAGTCCAATCTCATTGCCGGAAACAATACACGAGGAAGAAGAAGAAGAAGAAGCAGACCTCTTCATCTTCATCATCTCTCAAAAACAGAGTAATTTATTACTCACCAGAAGAATTGAAGACGACAGGAAGAACAAAAAAAGAAAAGATGAGTCTTCACAGTTTGGAAGGTAGTGGGTTGGTGCAGGTACTGCGTGAATGGGTGCTCATCAGAAAACATGAAGACGATTTAAAAATGTCCTTTTTTCATATTTCTTGCTTTTTGGTAAAAAAAAAAAAAACTACTATTATAAAGTGTGGTTTGGTTCACCGAACAGATGGACGGAAGAGGAAGAGAATATGACGACCGAAGAGAGGAAGGGATGGGGATGGGATGGAGAAGGAGAGTCAGAGAGGTGCGGTGGACGTTCTTATGAAACGTAACGGTGCAGTGTTGGAAATTGGCGATGGAGGGATTTGGACAGGTGGGTTCAAGGAAGGAAGGAAGGGACTAATAAGGGAGTGTTAAAACGTGTGTGTGTGTGTTGTGTTTTGGGGTTAACGGAGAGAGTCTTGGTTATTTAACGGGGGATGATCACATTTTCAGCACTTGGTCAATTTGGCAGTCTCATGCAACCAATTGTCGTTTACTACATTCGGCTACACTCACTATTCAAAATACTACGTATGTGATTAATTAAAATTAGTTACTCCGTCCCAGTGTATTTGTCTGGAGTCAAACTGGACAAACTTTGAACTTCAATTAAATAAAAACCATTATGTATTTTAACATAAAAATGACTTTATTAGATTTATCGTATTGAGAACTTTCAAAACTGTGTCTTATTATGCTAATATGCAATATAAATTGAAAACAATTGAACTTCAAAGTTTGTCCAATTAGACTCGAAAAAGTCAAACTGGACAAATACATTGGGACGGAGATAGTAATTCAGAAAAATGATATTCACATGTTCTTTTTTCTATATTAAAAAAATAGGCGAATTTTTTTTTAAAAAAAAATTGGGTGAGAAAAGTTTTGAACTCCAACCTCTTGCATTGGTCAGCCAAATTTTGATATCATTTTAGGGAATCAACTCCATTAAAAACTTAAATTTCTAGTTGTAGGGGCGGCCTAAGAAAGCTAAAATACTCTAAGATATACTCCCTTCGTCCCTCACACTCTTTCTTTCTTTCAATTCATTTTTATCTTGTCCCATAAACTCCTTTATTTTTCTATTTAAAAACAACGTTTATCCTTACTAATTTTTACCCTACATAGAGCACCGGCAATGGCAAGTAAAGAAATGGAATGCCACACGTTGACGTGGCATATTTCAACCAATAAAAGCATATCCATTCAGCGTGTGGCAAGTGAGTGGAGTGGCATCTCGTACAATGGCAAGTCATTATTTTTATCAATTTTTATAATTTTTTAATGCATTTTAATTATTAAAAATAATTTCATTTATATTTTTTAAATAGATTTACTTTTTAAAAAAACTTATTTCTTTTACAAAAAAACAAAAAAAACTGAAAGCATGTGATTTTAGACTGATTTGTGTTGATTAATTAATTTTAGAGTCTAGACACTTGTAGGAGGGCCGAATTGGAAGTATGATTGAAGATTTGAAGTCAATCTGAAATTTCAAAAAAATTTACCCTAATTTGTGACCCGACCCAGTCCTTTCTTCCTTCGTCCTTCGGCTCCAGTAGCAAAAACAAACACCGGCGACGGCGGCGAGCACCCCAGCGACGGCGGCGAGCACCCTAGCGACGGCGGCAAGCACTCCAGCGACGAGCAGCCCATTGACGAACTCCAGCAGCGAAAACTCCAGCAACCCACAAAAAATAAAAAAAAAATATACCTGAAAGTGCCTCGCGCCTCACACGCTTGGCGTGGAGGAAGGCTAAAGCCTCGCGAGGCAAGTTACGGAATAAGGTGACGTGGCGCAGCGAGTCGAGGATTTGCCTCGCCGCTGCGCATGCTCTTACCACATCATATCTTTGTACCAATTATCTATCTATCACATCTTAATTTTACCATCACATTAAGGGTATTTTTGGAAAGTCAACACAAAAATATCTCTCTCTTAAATTCTCAAAAAGTTAATAAGAGAAGAATTTTAAGGGACGGAGAGGGTAGGATAAAAGAATGAGTGGTTTGCAACTCTTCTTCCTCCCTTAAACATATAATCATAAAAAATAAATTTCTTACTCGGTATCTTTTAGTATTTTTCCTAAACCTCATCAAAGTCAAACAAATTTTTTATATAGAACAAAACAATATCAAACTGCTCCAATGGAGTAATATTAGAAATGCAATCCTTATATGAGTATTAAAATAATACGAGTAGTAACTTTTCAAAATGATCATTTCTTGTAAAATATTTTTTCAAATTAGTTTTCAATAAGTAATAATTAGTTATGTGATACTTTAAAATTAAGATTTATTTCATCAATAATTTTCCGTCAAAACTCAGTTGTATAGTTGTTAAGTAGAGGGTAGGTATTTTGAAATTTTTCATCTGTTAAACTATGATTGAATTTTAAAAAGAATCATTGGGAGAATTTATTTCAAGTTTAGATGATAGAACACACTAAAAAATGTTAGGATAAAGGCCCAACGCTAGAAGGGGGTGAATAGCGTTTGAAACAAAATCGCAGGAATTTAAAATGAGGAAGGTAAAGTAAAAAGCGTAAGAAAAGAGCACACCATATTTTACCCTGGTTCACCATAACGTGTGGTTACGTTGAGCCTCCCGAGAGACTCTCTCGAGTTACACTAACTCCATTTAAGCTTAAAGGTGTCTAACAAACCGATACAACTTGAGAACTCGAGTCATACGAGCTTCAACGCCTTTTGCTCGGAGATACCGCACTCCAAGACTTCACACGAAGGAACGAAAAATTTCTCTGAATTACAACAAGGGAACAAACCTTCCTTCAAGTGTATGAAAACACTTAAACACTCGGGACTAAAACTCTCACAAGGGGTAGATATGAGTGAACTAGTAATAAACGCTCAAGAACACGATAATTTCTTCAAGAATTGGCTCTCAAGAAGTTATGAAATATGAAATATGCTAATGAAATGAAGGAGTATTGGTTGTTGAAGAATTGTGTGTAAAAATGAGAGGTTTTAGGTGCCAATTTATAGACTAGAAGGTGGTGTATCCATTGCAACAGTTCCAACACGGACTGATAGTCGATTATCTTAACATGATAATCGATTATCAAAAGATTTCGTGCCCCAAAATTTAAAATTCTATCCGTTGGAGGCCAGGCAACAGCAACACTGATAATCGATTATCAAAAGTCTGAGAATCGATTATCCAACCTCTCTGAAAAGTCTGGGTTTTAGTAGCAAACCATTATAATCGATTGTCAATATGTGATAATCGATTATCGGATGGTTCTGAACTAAGAGTTCAAAAACTCTAGGGGCTGATAATCGAATGTGGGAAAGTGATACTCGATTATCACCCAGCTAAGACCCATCCTGCGAAAACCTAACTTGAAAAACCGAGGTTCAAAAATGAAGTGTTTCCAAAAGTAAAAATCAAGGTTGAAAAACATTGTATATGGTATAAAATAGAGAAACCAAGACTTGTTTATTAAAAACCAAGTCTTCGTGGTCGTAAGTCACGTGTTGACGGCTTTGACCGATTTTCACGTGTTTAGATCAATTGACCATCATATACAAGTGATTTTTTAAAAACGAATGTTTGGGAACCTTTTAAATATGCCTAGAGGTAAAAACCAAGTATAAAATATCAAAAACCGTTTTGTTGGTTTAGACGCCAAAAACCAAACTCCAAATGCCGAATGTCGAATGTCGAACGCCTAACACCGAATGTTGAACCCGTGGTTTTGGTTTGGGCAAGGAGCAGGGGTTTTTGCAACTTTGAAAAACTCATGAAAAACATTTATTTGATGCATAAAAACATTTCATGATTTTATAAAATATTTCGACTCTTTGAGAACCGAGACTTGATTTGATTGTCGGTTTTTATCACAATGAAACTGACTCAACTAAGTCTTCAAATCTTGATCTTGTCCTTGAGTCTCTTGGTCTTGTTCCACGCCTTACTTCATGCCTTGAGTTATTCAACGAAACTCTTCATATCCACGGTGATTTGGCGATTATCAAAACTTGTCAGAAACGAACACGACTTTAGTTCAACGCGATATAAAGTGTATTCCAACAAAAGACTCCTCAATTAACAACTACTACGCATATAATAGAGTTGTTAATGAAAAAAATTTCAATTCTCAAGAATAAACTTAATTAGAAAAGGCCGTTTTGAACATTTGTTAAAAGGTTAGATGAGCATGGTACGGTATGTGTCATACCGATTACCGACATCGTACCAAATATTTTGGTTCAGTATGGAATTTTACATTATACTTATCCTGATCCTGAAATATCAGTTCGAGATGGTTTGGTATTTGTTTCTGTACAAATGTATGAATACATGCATACCTAGTTTACACTTAAAATGTAACAAAATCTTTATTTTTAAAAAACCCAATTTTTAGTTAAATAAAAAAACATAAAATTAAAAAAATGAATAATTACATGCAATAGTTGCTTAAGAAACTTACTTCAAATTTCACAAACTAAAAAGAGCGAATAACAAATAAAATAATTTCAAATGCTTTGTTAATACTTTTAAATTTATTTACAAAATATAAAAGTCAAGTAAAAGTACAATTTACCCATAATAAAACTTGAATCAAATTTTCAAAATAAACGTATTCTTTAATGAAGAAATATAGAGAGATGACTACATTTGACCTATAATTAAATACAATAAATATTTTATATTAATTAGATTAAATAATATTTTGAAAATATTTCGTATATTAAATCTAATAAAAATATTTTTGTATGAATATCTAATATTATTTATATTTAATTTGAGGTCAAACTTTACCAATTTTGACCAAAAAAGTCAAAACTGGACAAATACTTAGGGACAGAGGGAGTATGTTTTGTTCGGGATTTCTCGGTATAAGAGGTTACCCTGTACCATTCCCAAATACTAAATCGATCGTTCAGTTTGGTATGATTCGATTTTTTTTAAAGACTTTCAGTTTGGTTTTCTCAATTTTTTTAGAAACTTTTGGGACCGGTTCGGTACTTGCTCACTCCTACCCAAGGGCTCCTCG